AGACGGCCCATGGCGGCGCCCTCGGTGCCTCAGCCGCGTCCCCCCGCGCCGACGAGAAAAGCGCGGGAAGGGCTTTACCAAGTATCGCGAGACGAGAGCTGGCCGGGCGCGCGCGCCGCCGTTCCTCGGCAACCCGAGCGGTTGACGTTTCCGGGGCAACTCGGTTCTCCGCTGCTAAAGCCCGACAGCCCCGCGCCGCAGCGTCCCGGCCCGCGCCCTGAGAGCCCTCACGTTCCTGTCGCTTCCCAGAGCCATGGAGGCGGTGCTGCCCAAGGACCTGGCGCAGGACGCCGGCCTGGCCAAGAGGAGACACGCCGAGCTGTGCCGCCAGAACCGGGTCTTTAACGCCAGGAACCGGATCATCGGGGTGAGGCCCGCGGCAGGCGGGGAGCTGCCAGGAGCAGAGCGGGCAGAGAGAGGACGCGAGCGCTGCAAGGAGACCCGGGAGGCCGTAATAGGCCCAGCGCGCGGCTCTCTTGGCCGAGGATCGGGCAGGGGGCTGGCCGCAGCCGGTGGCGGAACCGAGACCAGAACTCGGCTGACCTCCCTCAGCCAGAGTTCTACTCCGCCCGCGGTTCCGTCGGCGCGCTCCTCCACCGCGGCGGGCCCAGGTCCTGCCGGTTCTAGCAGATGCCAGTGAGGCAGTCTGGGACCTTGCAGAGCTTAAGATCCGGTGGAGAGAGAGGCATTAAAACGCATTGTGGCTGGTGGTTAAGGCCCGAGACTCCCATATGGTCCACTGTGGTTACAGTCCTGGACCTGGTGGCTTTCTTTCTCACTTTCCCTCTCTCAATCTCTCTCTCTCACCCTCACTGTCTGTCTCTCTATTGTAAGCACACATGCCCTATAGCAAAAACTAAAAAATAATAAATAAAATTTTTAAAAGTTAAATGCGTTAAATGCAATGGAGGATCGAGAAGGAGGTGTGGAATTTGAGGCCACTGGATCCCACAACCCACAGTCTCTGATGGGGAGCTTGAAAAACAAGCTCACATGTGTGCTTGGGTGCCAGTGTAAAGGGATTGCGACATGGCTATCCCCCCACCAGAGTTGATTTGCTTTCCTTTTCTCTCTCTTCCTCTCTTTATCTTTCTGGCAGTGAGTTCATGCACTATAGCAAAACTAGATAATAATAATTTAAAGATAAAATGCAGTGGAATCTGTGAGGGAGAGGAACAGTATTGAAGGGTTGGGAGGGGAAACCATAGGAGGTAGTGATGCCGGAGCAGTTTTCTGGAGATGAGTATCTTACCTAAAAGAAAGGAGGGAGAGCTCTGAGCAAAGTTGAAAGGACAGGCCTTAGAATCACCTATAAGCAAAGATATCCAATTATACAAAGGCTTAATATGCACATGTCGTTTACAGTGGGGCAAGCCTGAAAAGGTAAGGTGAATTGTTACCCACTGAGTAACATTACCTGGCTCTAACTCATCTCCTCTGGTTTTGCATTCCCAGGGAAACCCAGCTGCCTGGAGTGCTCAGGTTCATGACCAGAGGATAAAAGAAGCAACTGAAAAAGCTAGACATGAAACCTTTGGTGAGTATTTCCAAAAGGTTTCTCTCTCCGGTTACGGAGAGTGCCTTTATACTCTCCTTATTTCTTCACATGTATAAAGTCATTATTTTCATGTTCCTCCTTTTAAAATTTCACCATCTCCTGTGCTTAATTAACTTTATTTTTTTTTATTTTTTATTTTTTTTTTGAGAGATTTTCACTGTAGGACGCGTGCGCTCGCCAGACAGACAGAGAGAGACATAGAGACAGAAAGCGAGAAATCACCCCCCAGGGGGGATGGTCACGCCGCAATCCCTTCTCCTCCATTCTCCTCTCGGGATCTTGGGCACGCACGCACACGCGCCCGGCGTGAGTTTTAAGCCACCGGGTCCGGGACACGAACCGCGGTCGACTACGTGGGAATCCAGCGACATAGCCATTACGCTAACTGCTGGTTCCCATCCTGTGCTTAATTAACTTTACATGCTGATTCTTCTCTTAAAAGAAAAATAGCTATTGAATTCTAATACAGATTAAAGAAGATATACTTTAAGGATAAATGTGTTTTTCTTTGTTTAAGAACTAGATAGGAAAAGATTTAACTCTGTCTCTTTCTCTCTTTCACTGTGCCCCCAAATCCTAGACCTTGTATGGAAGCCAGATGTTTATAGCAGGGGCCACACACATGACCGAGCTCACATCCCTGAGCTGACTCAGGATAGATATGATTCAAATAAGAGTGTTTTAGGGCTTAGATAAAAATTTCAAATGTAGAAGACCAGCAGATGGCATGATGGTTATGTTGCTGGACTCTGATGTAGTCAACTGTGGTTTGAGTCCTAGACCTGGCAACTTGAAACTCATGCCAGACACGTGTGTGTTCATGCCCTAAATCCCAAGGGAAGAATGGAGGAGAGGGGACTGAGGCATGGCCATCCCGGGGGGGGGATAATTTCTCACTTTCTCTCTCATTCTGTCTCCAGTGAGCGTACTCACCCTATAGCAAAAATTTGTCAAAAAATTGTTGGTCAGATAGATAAGGAGAAGTAGATATTATTTAAATTCTATTCTCGAGAGCCTTACTGGGGAGTATATCACATTTTTTCAACAAATTCCATCATTTTAATAGGGATTCATGATGGAAGTTTTAGGGCCCATAAAACACGAATTGGAATAGACTAAGTACTACTGTCTTAAGAATCATTTTTTAAAAGTTGTATGAAATAAATTAAAATCCATTTTATTTACACGAAAGTGTTTTAAAAATTTTTTCATGTGTAAAAAAAAAAAAAAAAATTTTCAAATGTAGAATTAATTATCCCCTAACATGTCTAACAATTTTGGCAATTACTGAAATTTCCGTTTTTATTTAATTTAATATTTTTTTTGAAGAGGTTTTTGCTATAGGGCACGTGCGCTCGCCAGACAGAGAGAGAGAGACATAGAGACAGAAAGCGAGAAATCACCCCCCAGGGAGGATGGTCACGCCGCAATCCCTTCTCCTCCATTCTCCTCTCGGGATCTTG